AGAGTCAAGATCATGCTTACCTGTTAAAACAAGAGAAGACAGGGCTGGAGGTACAGGGGAAGAACGCATGGCTGGAGGCCCCACGGGAGAGGAAAGAGCCCTGTTCCTGGAGGCAGAGGCTTGCATGGCAGTTTGGATCCACTACTTGCTGGCATGTGCCTTTACTGTAGACCAGTCATCTGGCCTCTAGGCCTGTCTCAATATTTTCTCCCCACATGTGAATTTAGTGGACTGGGCCAGAAACTCTCTCTCTGTGGTCCTTTGATATCTGAGGAGTAAGACGGCAGGTATTTCAGCCCCATGAAAGCAGAGCTATGCCGACAGTTCCGTGGAGAGCAGATATTTCCAGAAGGAAGGAGCTGCAGCCAATGCCCTGCAACCAGGCCTGGCAGGGACCATGGGCACCCTGCCCACGTGGATAAGGCTCTCATTTCTCTTATGCTTTCTGGTCCTCAGGGTCTTATCCATGCTCCCTCTCACTGTGAAACACCAGAGATGAAATCTCCAAAGATAAGTGATGAAGAGGCCTATAGCCTGTTAACTATTGGGACCCAGATAAGGACTCATATTTCTATTTCTTCTCTCTAGCTTAGTCCTAGGGGCCAGGCAGGCCAACAAACAAATGATGGCATCAGGACAGAATCAATCCTACTGATTATGTGGCTGTCAGGCAACTATGGCTTTGCTTAATCAGGAATCATTTACTGTGTGTGCTATAAGGGTCCACCCCCAGAGAAGAGGGAGATGTGAGGGAGGAGCAGAAGAGGAAATAGAGAGCAGAATGTCTTTGCTCTTCCCTCTACCCTACCACCCCTCCCTCAACACTCTACCTACGGGGAGAAATCGGGGTATGGACAGGACAAAGCCACTGGTATGCGTGTGCATCAGGGAGGCAATAAGCACTTAACTGGGGGCTCCCAGGACCTACTCCCCTCACATATTATTGATCTGCCCAACAACCCTGCCTTCAGAATTGGCCATAGGCAACGGAGCCACCAGTCGTATGACCAGATATGTCCCCTGTCCCGTCCCCCTCTCCGCCTAGGCTATGAAGGCCAAATTGACATCAAGAAAGGAATTCAAAGCCTGAAGGAAAGAAGGTGGTCATGTGCAGACCATTTCTTTGCCTATTCCTTTGGAGCCAAGATCTTCCAGCAGAGCCAAGGGCCACCAGGGAGGACAGGATGTCCTAGCACAGCCCAGCAACCTCGTTCTTCTCATGGTGGTAGAGGGGCTTGCCTGCTGGCCAGTACAAGACCAAACAACTCCTAGGGCGTTGTTTAAGGCCCGTGCAGTAAGAAAGAGAACGTTTCTCAGTAACACAACCACTTGCAATATCCCCTTTGGGGATGGGGCAGGGTGGGCTGGAGGAGAGTGGGACTGAGCCTTCTCCAGCCTCAGGGAGTCTCCTGAGTTAGATCAGGATGGGTAAAAAATTGGTGGATGCATAGAAGTACTCTGTGGTCTATAAAGTGCTATTCTAAGGCAGGCACTGCAATGATTGACTTTATTGTGTGTGTTGTAAAGACCCACTCCTGGAGGAAGGGCAGGAATGAAGGAGGAGTAGAAGGAGAAACGCAGAGTGCCCTTGCTGTTCCTTCTGTCCCGCAACCCCTCCCTCAACATTCTGCCCACAGGGATAATCATGGTATGGACAGGATGAAGCCCCTTGCGTGTGTGTGCATAGCGGGAGGCGATAATTGAGGCAACCATAAAACCTCTGGGTAGGCAGCTGAATGTCTGTAAATGACCCCCAAGTTTGCTCTGTGTTTTTCTCTGGCTTCTAGAACAATCATGTTTTGCAGCTTGCCTTAATGATCAATCAGTCTGGCTTCCTTAGCTAGTTGCTAAAGATGTCTTTTTGGGAAAGAGAAACAGCAAGGCTGATCAGCGGCAGCACCCCCCCATCCCCCCCCCCCCCCCGCCAGCTCTTTCCTAATTGTGGTGACCCAAGTGAGTCCGCCCCTCAGGACCTGAGAATGTTTGTGGAACCACACACTGATTGGCCTGTGAGCCACTTCTCTCCATTGCCAGGGGCAGAGGGGGATGTTGGATGCAACTGGGCCATTTCTGTGACAGAAATTCTGGGATGGGAGCTGAGAGAGCAAGCATCAAAGCGTGAGGAGTGTCGCGGGGCATGATCCTGAAAAAGACAAGGCTGAAGCCTTTATTCTGGGACTCCCCTAGTTAGGGAAACCTGAAGGTGAGTTTGAGCTGGTGTAACAAGACAGAGCAACGGCCGAAAGAAATGACACTTTCCTCCCCAGATTTAAGGGGAAGAGAGTTTGTAGAGGACAATGTATTCTCTCTCCCCGCTGTGCAGGGAGCCTCGCCTCTTTGCTGCCGGGAAGCTCCCAGAAGACAGAAGAGCATTGAGGAAAGTGCACAGAGGCCCACAATGCCTTTGCTCGCACACCCACCCGTTACTGCCAGCCTATGACCTGAGCTCCTTGGACGGCAGCCTATTCCCTGCACACCAGCCCCTGGGGCAGCAGCAGACACCGAGAGCTTGTGAGGATGGAGGGGTGGGAATGAAGGCCAAGGCTGAAGTGAAGGCCTGGGGCTTCTCCTCTTCTTCAGTTTGGAATCCTAATTTTTTTCTTGTCATGGGGAGTGGGGAATGGGACTACAGGGGATAAAAGACAGGCACACAGACACCAAGAAGACATAGGAAAGGACTCCTTCCTGACAGAGAAGGGAGCTCGGTGCCAGAGCCACATCATGAGGAGAGTCCCGCAAGCATCTGGTACTTACAGACACATATGCTGTCAGGCAGATGACCAGGGAGGCGGTGATAGCATAAGGGATAGACGTGTTGGGATTCTTGGCTTCCTCTCCAGTGGTGGCGATGATGTCAAAGCCAATGAAAGCGTAGAAGCATGTTGCTGCTCCTTGCAGCACCTGTGTGGATGATGGCATTTGTCAGACTCAGAAGGTCAGGGTGGCACCAGGGCCTTAAATGTGGAAACTGCCCTATGCCCTATGCCCTGCAGACATGACTGAGTGGCTGAGGGAGTAACATGGCGGAACTCGTGCTAAACACGCAAGTTTTGATCTCCTACGCTTTCTAGCTGTGTGATTGTGGTCGATTCTCTTACGCTGTGTAAATAGAGACACGAAGAATTGGCAGGTGTGGTGGCTCACACCTGTAATCCCAGCACTTTGAGAGGCCTAGGTGGGTGGATCATGAGGTCGGGAGTTCGAGACCACCTTACCAACATGGTGAAACCCTGTCTCTACTAAAAATACAAAAATTAGCTGGGCATGGTGACACGCACCTGTAATCTCAGCTATTCAGGAGGCTGAGGCAGGAGAATTGCTTGAACCCGGGAGGCAGAGGTTGTAGTGAGCCGAGATCGCACCATTGCACTCCAGCCTTGGTGACAGAGGGAGACTCCATCTCAAAAAAAAAAAAAAAAAAAAAAAAAGGCTTCTGCCTTTTAGTGTAGGGGATTGAGACACTTCTGCATAAGGAAGAGTTATCCTACCTAAATTACTGTTAGTACCCCTGACAGATCAGCTCTATGGTAACTTCCAGATCTGAAATGATATAAAAGATTTTCAGATCTTCAGATATTCTATTGTCTTCACTGGGAAGACAGAGTAAAGACAGTTTATTTGTTGCTCCTTTTGGGACTTGAATGACCTAGTTGGGCATGAGGCAGGAGGTCAGAGTAAAGCTAGGGGATAGTATCCAGTCACGTCTGCTGGCAGTCTGTCTGCCAGGAGTCCACATGGCTTTAGAGGTGTTTGGAAATGTATTATATATGTCAAAATGTCAGTGAAAACCTTCCATTGAAGAGTGGCTACTTTCTTTGAAAGAACCTATTGAAGTTTAAATGAGGGTTACCCACCTAGGTATTTTCATTGTTAGCTTTAAGTAAAAAAAGGGCCTCTTTGAACGCTTGGGGATGTCCTTTTAGAAGGTGAGAGATGTTTTTGGACTTGTGTGTATGCGATGAGGGAAAAAAATGCAAGCCCTAGTCGGTGGTCCAGGAGGTGAGACCCATTGTAGACTGGACCATTTTATTTTTCTTTTCTCCGCATTCAGTTTATAAATGATGAAAATCAAAATGTGTGCCAAGCTGACACTTGTCCAAAATTTTCACTCTTAACTTCCTCATTGACTTCTCAATAAGACAAAATACGAAATACCAGAACCTGTAAGGTACACCACAGAATCAAAGATCTTCTCAAACCTTCAGAAGCAAACTTTGTTTATCTATAAAATGAGCTGGTGTTTCCTACAGTTTCTCTCAGCTAGGATTCTAATGTTTCAACCCTCTACTCCCAGGTTCTTATCCTGGAGGCCATGGAATTCAGGGCATCTATAAATTTTGCTGGCAAAGAATTACATATGTTTTTTCACTACCTTCTAGTTGAATTAGCATTTTTTTCTGTTATGAATGTAGGTGTCAAACTAGCAATACCTGTGCCTGTGTCACCAATAGCAATCAGATATTTTCATTTCATATGAGAATTGTTGCAGAGATCTTGAAATATCACTTATGCTTATTACTACCTTCAAATTATGATAATTATTAGACATAGATGTTAACATATAAATCCCAATAGAGAAGCACATTGTTACTAGATTATAATTTAAAAATAAAATAAAATTAAAAATACTTAATACTACATTTCAACATAATTGATTTCCTTTGAATTCCTATGTAATTAGGCTATTCCTTTAAAAACACAGTTCTCATAAGGGATCTACAGGCTTCATCGGACATCCAGGTGGTCCATGGCACAAGAAAATTTAAGAACTCCTGGTCTGTTCTAATAAGCCAGGTAGAAAGAACTTCTCAAACGTAAGTGGTTCCATCTCTAGATGGCTACTTTCCAGAAGAGAAGAGACCTCCTGCTTTTCCTACAGCAAAATTTTTCATACAAGGGTGTGGAAAATGTCTTTGGCCTCCAGACAAAGAGAGAAAATAGATCTCACCTCATCATACATGGAGGTTCACAGGCTTGGAAATGTGCTTGTTTTCACTTATCTAGAAAATATTACTGGTCTTCAAGGATGAACGGATGCTAGACTGCAGGCTCACTAAGTAGTCCTGATCAAGAAAAGCCTCACTTTAAGATAAGTCCTTCATTTTTGACAAAGGTGCCAAGAACATACACTGGGGGAAAGACAGTCTCTTCAGTAGATAGTGTTGAGAAAACTGGATATCCATATACAGAAGCATGAAACTAGACCTTTATCTCTCATCATCTACAAATATCAAATCAAAATGGATGGAAGACTTAAATCTAAGACCTCAAACTATAAAACTACCACAAGAAAACATTAGGGGAAAGTCTTCAGGACATTGGTCTGGGCAAAAATTTCTTGAGCAATACCCCACAAGCACAGACAACCCAATAAAAACAGAGTTATTCTACACGTTCAAGTCCTCTGTGGAAATAAGCGGGGTTATAAATAAATCAATATATTGGCTATCTCTATGTCTTAGGGAACTCATTTACCTTTTTGTACTTTGTTTTCATCCAGCATTTTCAACCGCAATCATAGGCTGTAAGACTACCCCTAGGGGATGTTTGGAAAGATGTTTGGAAAATCTCCAGGACATTAGTCCTGGCAAAAATTTCTTGAGCAATACCCGACAAGCACAGGCAACCAAAGCAAAAATGGACAAATGGGATCACATCAAGTTAAAAAGCTTCTGCACAGCTGAGGATACAATCAACAAAGTGAAGAGACAACCCACAGAATAGGAGAAAATATTTGTAAACTACCCATCTGACAAGGAATTAATAACCAGAATATATAAGCAGCTCAAACAACTCTATAGCAAAAAATCTAGTAATCTGATAAAAAAAAAAAGGGCAAAAGATTTGAATAGACATTTCTCCAAAGAAGACATACAGATGGCGAACAGGCATTGACAATCAGATAAATGAAAATCACAACTACAATCACATATTATCTCACCTCACTTAAAATGGTTTATATCCAAAAGACAGGCAATAATAAATGCTGGCAAGGATGTGGAGAAAGAGGAACACTTGTACAATGTTTTTGGGAATGTAAATTAGTACAGACACTATGGAGAAGAGTTTAGAGGTTCCTCAAAAAACTAAAAATCGGGCTACCATATGATCCAGCAATCCCACTGCTGGGTATATACCCAAAAGAAAGGAAATCAGCATATTGAAGAGATAGCTGCATTCCTATGTTTGTTGCAACACTGTTTACAATAGCTAAGATTTGGAAGCAACCTAAGTGTCCATCAACAGATGAATGGATAAGGAAAATGTGGTACATATACACAATTGAGTATATGCAGCCATAAGAAAGAATGAGATCCAGTCATTTCCAGCAACATAGATGGAACTGAAGATCATTATGTTAAGCAAAATAAGCCAGGCATGGAAAGACAAACATTGCATGTTCTCACTTATTTGTGGGATCTAAAAATAAAAACAATTGAGCTCAGACATAGAGAGTAGAAGGATGGTTACCAGAGGCTGGGAAGGATAGTTGGGGGCTGGAGGTGGGGAGGTGGGGATGGTTAACGGGTACAAAAAAAGTAGAAAGAATGAGTAAGACCTACGTTAGAAAACACAACGGGGTGACTACAGTCAATAATAATTGTACATTTTAAAATAAAGAGTGTAATTGGATTGTTTGTAACTTGAAGAATAAATGCTTGAGGAGATGGACACCCCATTCTCCATGATGTGCTTATTTCACATTACATGCCTGCATCAAAACATCTCATGTACCCCATAAATATATACACCTACTAAGTACCCACAAAAAAACCCCCAGAAAAACAGGTCCTGCTTTCTCTTCCTTTAGCATCCATTCTTCCCTTCTACACACACAGACACATATATGTACAAACACAAACATGCACACACATACACAAATACATATAAACACACATACACATGCAAACACATATACATACATATATATGCATTACATACACTCCTCTTGTAAATCATTTAGTGACCTGGCACAACAACCGTATAAATTTGGGCAAAGCAATCTTAGAAAAAGGTGAGAAGTTTGTGAACCATGCCATGTAAGGAAGAACTGGGGACCTGGGGATGTTTAATTTGAAGAGCAGAAGACTCAGTGGAAGATGCAGAGGACACCATTAAATATGTGCAGTACTGGCAGTGGGAGTCAATGTGACGTCCACTGTAGGCTTCAGAGGAAATCCTAGAGCCACGCACATGGGTGTGATTGGCTTTGGTTAGGAGCATAGACTTTGTAGATTGTCAGGCCCAGGTTGATTCTGCCACATATTAGCTTGGTGACTAGAATAAGTTCTTAACTTCTTGGAGCCTAAGTTTCATTGTTACTTAAATGGAGATAATAATAGCACTTGGCTCATAGTGTTGTTACAAGGATAAAATAAGCTAATAGAGTAAACTGCAGTCCATAATAGAGTAGGTGCTCAATAAATATTAGCTCTTACCACCAGTATTATTATGACAATTCTAAGTTTTTCTAGAGCAGTTGACACCCAAGAGCACAAACTCCTCCTCCTTCTCCTTCTCCTTCTCTCCTCCCTCTACTCCCCCACCTTCCTCCTTTTAGAACTTGACTTGTGTATACTAAGTGCTACCATGTGCCAGGCACTGTGCTTAGTGATGGGATATAGTCATGAGCAAAAAGTACCCAGCTTGATTTTATGGAGATTGAGTGTAGAGGATACTGCAAGATCCCAAATGCAGTCTTGATTATGGTAACAAACTGAACAAGATTAATAAGCATCTGTATTATTTATAAAATACAAATGCTACTTTCCTCTAAATGAACGAGAGAAGGGATGGCAATTACTGAAAATGATTAGCTATCAGAAAGTTAACTATGACCAAGTAGGGAAAAGAGGAAGTAAACTTGCAAAGAGGATGTCTCTTAGCCTGTATTTGCATACGTAGAACTAGAAAGCAAGTATAGTTGAAGAAAGACTGGACAGATCAAAGGCAGGACATGCGGAGGTTCTACCACATTAGGCAGTCAAGAGAATTTATTAATAACTCAGATGATTCAAACAAAATTTCAGTAAGGGACTATAGGCAGGTCTGGGGAGTATTTAGACGGGGTTAAGGGAGCTGACTAGGGATGTTGAAGTATCAGAGACTTAGCAACACTGAGAAGTTGTCATCCCGAGGCCTAAGTGTAGGGGGTGGAATGGTGTCCTGGAGTCCGGCAGGAGCCGGAGCTATGGGTCAGAGATTCCTAGAAGGAGCTGCCTTGTGGAGGCACAGCCAGTGTGGTGTGCAGCAAGGAAGAAATACTCTGGCCTTGCTTTCTTCTCACCTTCTGACCTGATAATATTTCCCATTGGCTAAATTCAACAGGAAACAACCTGCAGCAGAGAACAGGTCATGAAGGGTGGAGAATAGGTCTGGGGAATGGAGGCAAATGGAGAAGAAAGACCAGCACACCTACCAAGGTCAAACCGAACTTGGCCTAACAAGACATAGATGAAATAAACAATTATTAAAGAGAAGATAATAAAATTAGCAAAAAGGGTCATCTTTTTCCTTGAGTTAGTTTGAATGAACTTTTCTTCCTTGCAAGCAAATGGTCCCTGATTGGTAAATGCAAAGACTCATGAAATGAAACTGTATATAGGTGCCACGGAAACTGTTTTCCATGTCACTCTGTCCAGATCTCAGATCTGACCACTGGTGTCTATAATTAGGATAGACTTCCATACATAAAAGCACATGTGCGGTACCTGGGGGTGAGCATCTGTGAATAAAATTGGTGGGCGAAATGTGTGTATGTGTGTTTGTGTGCAAGTGTATGTGTATTTCTGGGTTTTTTGGTATGTTATCCTAACTCTTTGCTTTAATGTTTTGCAAAATTAAAAAATAGTATTGAAAAAAATTAGCTGGGTATGGTTGTGTGCACCTATAGTTCCAGTTACTTGGGAGGCTGAGGTGGGAAGATTAGAGAGGCTGAGGTGGGAAGCCCGGGAGGTTGAGGCTGCAGTGAGCTGTGATGGCACCACTGCACTCCAGCCTGGGCAACAGAAAAGTATTGACCTTTTTATTTGATGATATAGCTGAGATTGTTGTTTGAAGTCAACCTGATATAAAAACTCAGCCGGCTGATCCAGAGCAGAGTTCACCCCTCTAGAACGGGGTTGTGGGAAAGCAGCACGTGCCTCAGTTGCTGGAGGGCTTCTGCTTAGTTAGTTGTCAAAAGTAATGTCATTAGTGGCCTGCTACTCAGTATGTGAGGTCCGTAAAAACTGGCCCCCTGCATCTTGCTGATATTTGAGAGGCATTCAGATGAGGCAGCCTTCACATGTTCTGCCTCGGCCAGTCTCCAGATGCCTGGGAGATAATTAGGCGCCTTTATATTATTCACTCTCTAGGCAACAAGATGAAATTCCAACTTTTCATAGCATTTTCTACCACCCTCATGCCCCAGCTCTATTAGCAGCCTGTCCCCAGTGACAGTGGAATGTACTGATAGGTTCCCACAGATGGATTCAGATGTGGAGAACATGAAAAACAACTTTTCCTTTGTTTGGAGGCTGTCAGGATTCCCCACAAATGATTGCTATGGACCATTTTCGTGGGAGCTATTTGTGCTGTTAGAGTGTCTTATTTGCTTAAAGAAAAACCATAAGATAGTATCAAGAACAAATAACATGAAGGGAACACACATCCAACACTGTTCAAGGGCTGACGAACTGCAGATGGAAGCAGGGGTTCAGCTGAAGGCCAGAGTTACTTGATACAGGGAAAAATGTTTGTTGTTCTTAAACTCTTCAAGACCAAAGAAGCATTTGACCCAGAACCTGTAAGTGAGTAAACCATTCCTTAAACTATTTTCTTTGGAAGGAAGTGTTTGGAGCAGGGGAAAGAGTAGGTTTATAAGGGGTCCATGGTTAGAGGATGGATTGATTGTTCATTAACTCTTTCAAAGTCTTTGAGAATTGTGTGGAAAGTCATGTCATGCTATTCTTTTTTTTTTTTTGAACTCTGAACTTTTTATTGGCCTCCTGCTCCCCAAAGGGTACCCTGCTTCTGCTGGCTTAATGCCTCAGAACTTTGGTGTCGTTGGTCTCAGACACCACTTTGCCATCCACTATCCGGCGGGTGGTGGTCTTTTGGATGGTTTGCATGGAGTTGCTGCTGTCCAAGGCATCACCAAGATTGAATTCCTCGCCATCTTCCAGCAGGCGGCGGTAGGTGGCGATCTCAGCTTCCAGCTTGACCTTGATGTTCAACAGGGCCTCATACTCCTGGGCCTGTCGCTGTCCCTCTGCCCGGGTCTGTGCCAGCTCTGACTCCAGGTGCAGCAGGATCCCATTGAGCTGCTCCATCTGTAGGGCGTAGCGGGCCTCCACCTCCCTCAGGCTGTTCTCCAAGCTGGCCTTCAGATTTCTCATGGAGTCCAGGTCGATCTCCAAGGACTGAACTGTACGTCTCAGCTCTGTGAGCGTCGTCTCAGCAGCTCCAACCTCGGCGGACTGTGTGGTGACCACTGTGGTGCTCTCCTCAATCTGCTGAGACCAGTACTTGTCTAGCTCCTCTCGGTTCTTCCGAGCCAGCTCGTCATATTGGGCCCGGATGTCTGCCATGATCTTGGCGAGGTCCTGAGATATGGGGGCATCTACCTCCACGGTCAACCCAGAGCTGGCAATCTGGGCTTGTAGGCCTTTTACCTCCTCTTCGTGGTTCTCCTCCTTGAGAGCCTCGATCTCTGTCTCCAGCTGCAGTCGAGTGACATTGGTGTCATCAATGACCTTGCGGAGCCCATGGATGTCGTTCTCCACAGACTGGCGCATGGCCAGCTCTGTCTCATACTTGACTCTAAAGTCATCAGCAGCAAGACGGGCATTGTCAATCTGCAGAACGATGCGGGCATTGTCCACAGTATTTGCGAAGATCTGAGCCCTCAGGTCCTCGATTATCTTGAAGTAATGGCTCCAGTCTCTGACCTGGGGTCCCTTCTTCTCCAAGTGCTCCCGGATTTTGCTCTCCAGCCTCCGGTTCTCGGTCTCCAGGCTCCTCACTCTGTCCAGGTAAGAGGCCAGGCGTCGTTTCTGGATGCCTCCCATTCCTGCCAGACCCCCGGCCATCCCTGAGGCCAGGCCCCCGGACCCCATGCCGCCCCGGAAGCTGGTGGAGCGGGACACGGAGATCCGGGAACCAGAACCCCCGGCGCCTGCATAGACACTGGCCGCGCTGCTGACCGGCCGGGCGCCGTAGCTGGGCGCCTGGACAGAGCCCAGGGACCGGTAGTTGGTAGAGAAGGTGGAGCGAGTGGTGAAGCTCATGCTGTACGAGAGGAAGGCGAGACGACAGGACTCAGGCTTTGCCGACCTGTCATGCTATTCTTATACATCATCTCCTACACAATGGTTTCCTCCATTCCATCCTACCTAAAGCAATTGAAGAATAAAGTGGGTTGGACCTCTGCACTAGTCCCCTAGTCAGGGGTAGAGGTAAGTGTTTTGCTAAGGAGTGAAGAAGTTCATGTATCTGTTGACGAGGAAACACACTTTTGTAGACAATTGTTAGGTAACAGAGTAAGGAGTGTGTGTATTACCTTGGTGTATGACATGCTCATGAGACAGTGTCAGACCTTAAAAAATCGAGTCTAAATTCAAAATGACTTTGCTGGACTTTGGAAAAATCACCTGAAACCAAAGGTGAGAAATAACAGGTACAGGCCCATTCACTAGGAAGGAAATGTACTACGTAGAAATCCAAGGCCAGGCAGAGTGTGGAGAGGATGAATCAGCAACATCTTCACACTGGGCTGTCCTTTGTTCTCAGATGATACTTTTAGGCACATTCACTAGGACATACATCATCCCCAAGTTTCCTTTAGGGATAATGGAATTGCAGCAAAACATTTACAATCCCAGCAAAGCTTTTTTCTTGACCAATGACAAAACTACTCAAGGCAGTAAGCTTGGATTGGAATGAGGACAGTGAACAGAAGTGCAAAAGAAGATAACCAGTTCCATGGCCCCAAACCCAGGTGGCAGTGGGGTAAATAAGTACTTTGGCCCATCCAGGACTGGGATCTAATTTCAGCTCTATTACTTACTGTCTAGATCTGTGACTTCAACTTTTCTAAGCTTCAGTTATTTGTATGTAAAAGTGGAGATCTCTGTACTTACTTTGCAGGGCTGTTGTGAAGATTAAATTTAAAGTGTGCATGAAAGAGTTTGTCACAAAGAAAATGTTCAATGTTAGGAAAAGCATCCTTCATTTCCTTCTTATGCCTGACTTCTGATCGTCTGTTAGGAAAGTTAGTCAGAACCCAGGATGTATAAGTGGGGAACCCCAAGGCTGGCATGATGAGCTCCTTCCTTGATGAAGCGGGTTCCTGATTGAGGAAGGATATGGAGCCCCTGAAAAGGAAAGGGAGACCCCCAAAGAGAATAAACGCCCCAGAACAAAACACAAGGCTAAAAGCAATACTAAAATGTGCCTCCATCTTCTTCAGGATGGGTAAAGAACATTTACACAGAGGATATTAACTCTTTCCAGTCTTTAAGTGGGGCCTAAACTAAAGGGTGTGCCATTTGGGTGAGCTAATAGGAGGATTTTGAAAATTAAATATCAATCAAGTAGTTAAGAAGAGTTTTAGAATTGCATTGACAGGATGTCTTCATAAACAATGCATACGCAGCCTGGGTCAGTTGAACTATATTCCATCTGAAGATAAGAAAAGAAACTAGACTATCTCTCAATGTTCCTCCAAGATTCTATGACTTCATGAAAGTTTAAAGGAAATATAACATGTCAGATTTATTACCTTACTACTTACTAAAGAAAACTCAGAGAGAATGATAATGATACACAAGGTACTCCATTGGTAGAAAGGGTTTTGGAGTCACACAGATCTGTGCAGAAACCCCAGCCCTGGAGCTGACTAGCTAAGTGATGTCAGGTCAGTTTCCCAGCCTCTACGAAGATTCTCCAATTTTAAGTTAGGGATAACAGCACCGTTTAAAAGTTTTGTTTTAAGAGTGAGATACTATTCATGGAATCCGATGCCAGGAACTTAACAGGTAGTCAATAAATACTAGTTCCTTCCTCGTGTAGTTTTAACTATTGCCAACCATAACAAGCTGCACATAAAAACATCTAAGATTTTGCTGTTTTTTGCAAACATGTGGTGCAATTAGTTTTGCTACATAATAGATGAGAAAAACTGAAAGCAAAGAAGTTAATTGATGGCCAAAGTCTTACAGTAAGTCCATGACCCAATAATTTCTTGTATTGTCAAGAAAATGATGAGGACATTTTCCTGCTACAATGAAAATGCAATTGAGGACCAAGCAGCAGCTTCTCAGCTCCTTCTGGCATCTCTGCCTGGTCCAGCCCACCTGCCTCCACTCCTGCCTCCACCATGTCCATCAGGGTGACCCAGAAGTCCTACCAGGTGTCCACCTCTGGCCCCCAGGCCTTCAGCAGCTGCTTCTACACAAGTGGGCCTGGTGCCTGCATCAGCTCCTCAAGCCTCTCCCGAGTGGGCAGCAGCAGCTTCTGGGGTGGCCTGGGCGGAGGCTATGGTGGGGCCAGCAGCATAGGAGGCATCACCGCTGTCACGTTCAACCAGAGCCTGCTGAGCCCTGTTAACCTGAAGGTGGACCTCAATATCCAGGCCATGCACACCCAGGAGAAGGAGCAGATCAAGACCCTCAACAAGTTTGCCTCCTTCATCGACAAGATACAGTTCCCGGAACAGCAGAACAAGATGCTGGGGACCAAGTGGAGCCTCCTGCAGCAGCAGAAGACAGCTGGGATCAACATGGACAACATGTTTGAGAGCTACATCAACAACCTTAGGCGGCACCTGGAGACTCTGAGTCAGGAGAAGCTGAAGCTGGAGACGGAGCTTGGCAATATGCAGGGGCTGGTGGAGGACTTCAAGAACAAGTATGAGGATGAGATCAATAAGCGTACAGAGATGGAGAATGAATTTGTCCTCATCAAGAAGGATGTGGATGAAGCTTACATGAACAAGGTAGAGTTGGAGTCTCGCCTGGAAGGGCTGACTGATGAGATCAGCTTCCTCAGGCAGCTGTTTGAAGAGGAGATCCAGGAGCTGCAGTCCCAGATCTCAGACACGTCTGTGGTGCTGTCCATGGACAACAGCCACTCCCTGGACATGGACAGCATCATCGCTGAGGTAAAGGCGCAGTACAAGGAGACTGCCCACCACAGCCAGGCTGAGGCTGACAGCATGTACCAGATCAAGAATGCGGAGCTGCAGACGCTGGCTGGGAAGCACGGAGATGACCAGCGGTGTACAAAGACTGACATCTCTGAGATGAACCGGAACATCAGCCGGCTCCAGGCTGAGATTGAGGGCCTCAAAGGCCAGAGGGCTTCCCTGGAGGTCACCATCACAGATGCCGAGCAGCGTGGGGAGCTGGCCATTAAGGATGGCAACGCCAAGCTGTCCGAGCTGGAGGCCGCCCTGCAGCGGGCCAAGCAGGACATGGCATGGCAGCTGCGTGAGTACCAGGAGCTGATGAACGTCAAGCTGGCCCTGGACATCGAGATCGCCACCTATAGGAAGCTGCTGGAGGGTGAGGAGAGCCGGCTGGAGTCTGGGATGCAGAACGTAAGTATCCATATGAAGACCACCAGTGGCTATGCAAGTGGTCTGAACTTGGCCTATGGGGGCCTCACAAGTCCTGGCCTCAGTTATGGCCTAGGCTCCAGCTCTGGCTCTGTCGCGAGCTCCAGCTCCTTCAGCTGCATCAGCTCCACCAGCTCCACCAGGGCCATGGTTGTGAAGGAGATCGAGACCCGTGATGGGAAGCTGGTGTCCAAGTCCTCTGACGTCCTGCCCAAGTGAAGAGCTGCCGCAGCCCCTCTCAGCCTGCCCCTATTGTGGCTTCCCCAGAGCCTGGGAGGGAGGCTGCTGTGCAGGGGAGCACAGGGAACAGGAGACCCACCTGAGGCTCAGCCCCAGCTCTCAGCCCACCCGCGGGGGAGTTTACCACTTGGGGACCCCTCTTGCCCATGCCTCCAGCTACAAAACAATTCAATTGCTTTATTTATAATGCCCAAAATAAAATCTCAGCTAACTCTGCCAAAAAAAAAAAAAGAAAAGAAAAGAAAAGAAAATGCAACTGAGTTCCAGAAAAACATTCCTTCTTTTCACTCTTGTAATTTATTGTTTCTCTTATATGATAGGAAAGGAACAGTTTGTATCATAAGATAATACAGATCTGGGGGTCCAGAATGGGGCCAACAGTGTTTCTTTGTCTCTTCTTTTGGGTTTAAGCAGTTTCAGTATTTCTTCATTTCAAAGAGGAAGGATGAACTTTGCAGTTCTGTGGAATTCTTATAGATAAGGAGAAGACTAGGAATCTTGGCTTAAATTGCTTCCTTGCTTATTTCTCTGCATTGAACGGCATAGCATGGTTCAGAATAAACAGAAGTGATTTTGAGTGTTCTCCAAGAAACATTTCTGATCCCTGGACATGTTGGAGAAAAACCAGTCTAAGCAAAAGCTACAAAAGCAAAGTGGGTGGAATTCTGGACTTGCTTTCTGTCATCAGTTCTAGGCAGACTTGCCTCTCTCGACCTTAGATTGTTCATCTGTTAAATGAATGGATAGAACCAGGTAACCTCTAAGGTCCCTGACAGCTCAAAATTCTCTGATTTATGTTCTACCATGAAAAAAAGGTGGGCTAGTGAATTTCACCAATAAATCCACAACGTAAGTATTTTTAGTCATCCTAGAGAAAGAAACCAGGTGCAACTCACAGCCACTTGTCAGTATAAAGAATTTGCCACTCTGACCTTCTTATTTTTCTCTAGCATAAACCACACTAGCCAGATCATGGAATGAGATGTGAAAATGTCCTTTTGGTCCGGCCCACCCTCTTGCTAACCCCTAGACCACACCAGGTAAACCCGCCTGTCATGAACTATGCCTTTGGAATGGGACTTATAGCACAGCCCTCCATTAGGCCAGCTCAACTGTCCTCTGACCCCAGGGGGACTCTCCTCCTAGAGTCAAATGCTGACATTGCAATTAAAAACTGTTATTTTCCTAGTTTCATACCCAGGCAAAACTCATCCCTTCCCTACTCTCCCCTTTCCCTGGCCTCCTTTATTGCCTTGTGTATTTATGTTCTTGTTATCTCCCTTAGTAGATTGTAGAGATAATGCTATAGAACTGAGCTGTTCTTGCACAGACTTTGGAGTCAGGCAGTCCTGGCTGACTGGGTTCTGCCACTTACATTGTGTGTTTAACAGCAAGCCATTTGAACTCTCTGAATGGAAGGTTTTTTTGGTTTGTTTTGTTTTGTTTTTTTTTTTATCTTTAAGAGCAGAATGTAAATATCTTCCTCACAAGATTATCAGGATGATTAAATGAGTTATTACATGCAACGCCACTTAGCACAATTTTAGGCAATTGCAGGTTGCCGAAACATTGAATCTATTATTGTTATTTGTATAAAATAGGATCTTAACAAATGCTTGTGAAACAAAACAAAACAAACAAACAAACACACACAAGAACCACTTCTTCAGGATATTCCAACTAAATTCAGATCAAAAGGTGATAAAGAGGGTGCTGTGGTAATTATGGAACAGAACAGCATTTTCTTGAAAATATGTCTTAGGCTGGTCACAGGGTAGAAGGCAGAGTGTGTGACAGGCACACCAGGTGTTTGGAATAAACTTACCCCTGACCAGCCATGGGGCAAGAACTGGCCCTCTGCCCAGTATTTCCCATTGATGAAGAAGAGGCCTGCGATCATGATGAACACCCACACTGCCAGATTCAGCACATTGAGAACATTGTTGAAGCCTACAGAATTTTTCACCCCCAGGGCAACAATGATGGTCACGATGACTGCGATCAACAGAGCCAGAAGGTCTGGGTATGATTCTTCACCTTTCCCTAGAGAGGAAAGACATGATTTGACATTGTTTAGAGGGAAGAAAGGGCCATGCAAACTCCTGGTCCTACCCCAGTGCATCCGCACTCAGCTTTAAGAAGGGCAGTAAGTCTGTAAAAGGAACTGTGTGTGTGTGTGTGTGTGTGTGTGTGTGTGTGCACCTACACATGCCTATGCTGTAGTCCACAAGCAGATACAAGTGTCTATTTGCAAATGAGCAGAATTTGGTAGATAGGTAAGATGATCTGATATCCTGGACCAAAAATTGAGCTATGTGGTGTGACATTACAACAGCGCCTATGGAAGCATGGCACAGAACATTTGAAGTGGGAACCGACCTGTGATATTTGGGATGCATATTTAGGTCTAACATGTTATTTGAAAATTGTTTTTATCTTCATTATTGTTAATTTTACAGTCAGTAAAATTTCTATCCCATTCCCAAACCTTTTCTTTATCAACACATTTAAGAATGTGTGTCTTTGAAAATGATGGGAACAGGGGTTTTCTGTCCTTTTGTGTATATGTGGTTGCAGAGAAAAAAATAACCAGTGAACACGCCCTGCCTGCTTGGTTTTGCCCAACGGCCAGTGGACTCCTGCCCTCTATAGAGTGGAAAAGGCATTGACTCAGCTGTCAGGGGTCTTGAATTTCAGCTGTACTTTTGCCCATAGCCAGATGTGTGGCCTTGGGCAAGTTGACTTATCTCTCTGGACCTCATTTGTAAAGCGATGGACATGAATGACCTGATTTTGGAGGACTCTTTTAGACCTAAAATTCTATACAATCAGTACACTGAACAGGTTTGTTCTTTATATTTTTATCTTGTCATGGTACTTGGGTGCTCAGCATTTTTGTCAGTTCTTTTGAGATAGGAACATCGAAGTCAGATGACTTGACACAGCCACAGGATCATTCCTTGGAAGTTCTGAGGCAAGATTCCAGAGCTTTCTCAGCTATTGTTCAGCTTTCCTCGAATTTGAGTTTATCAGGCATCAAGATGGAGAGTGGCTGGGTGCAGTGGCTCAGGCCTGTAATTCTAGCACTTTGGGAGGCCAAGGTGGGTGGATCACAAGGTCAGGAGTTCGAGACCAGCCTGGCCAACATGGTGAAACCCCGTCTCTACTAAAAATACAAAAATCAGCTGAGCGTGGTGGCTGAGTAGTAATCCCAGCTACTTAGGAGGCTGAGGCAGGAGAATTGCTTGAACCAGGGAGATGGAGGTTGCAGTGAGCCGAGATCATGCCATTGCACTCCAGCCTGGGCAACAGAGCAAGACTCTGTTGCAAAAATAATAATAATAATAAAAAGAGAGTGGATGGCAAATGATGGATGGAGCCTGAGGTCTCATGGTATTTGTTACACGAGCTTCTGATGGTTTAGCATTCACTATTATGTTACCCCTTCCTGACCTCTTCTAGGCTGGAACCCTTTTTACTCATTAATTTTTTTTCATTGAAATTTGGGAAAAAAATCTGATGAAACCACTGGAGAAATCGCTGACAGTTCTTTTTTTTTCTGCATTGGTTTTATTTTTATATAGCTATTGACATGCACATGTATGGTTTGTATCCTTTGACATATGATATTACATTAAAACATAATCCATGTTATTACAAGTTTCCCTAATCATCCTTTTAATTGCTAGCTACATAGTATTTGTCTGCAATTTACTTAGTCATTTGCCCACTGTAGAATATTTAGGCTGTCTCTAACTTTTTGTTATTGTAAATAAGGATGTGATGAGCATCTTTTTGTATAATGCTTCCATGGACATTAGAATTATTTTTTAAGGATAGATAGATTCATAGAGAAAGGATTACTTTGCAAAAAAAAAAAAAAAAGAAAGAAAGAAAGAAAAGAGATATACTTAAGGCTTTTGATACATTTTGCCAAATTGCTTTCTGAAAGGAGAACTCATTTATGGGGCTTGGTAAGTTTGCATGTTGAGGGTAGGAGGATGTGGCAGTCTCACCCAGGCCATTGAGGGTTCCCACGCTGTCCGCCATCCAGCGGCTGATGGTGTGGTTGGCCAGTGAGTCAAACATGCTGCTCAGAGCACTGGCTCCGGCCGCAGTGCCAATCAGGTACTCCAGGATCAGGTTCCAGCCAATGAAAAATGCTACAAATTCCCCAACAGTGACATAGCTGTAGGTGTAGGCAGATCCTGTGGTCTTGGGGACTCGAACTCCAAACTCTGCATAGCAGACGCCTGCAAGGGACAGACATACACAGATGGTGGACTTCAGGAGAAAAGCTGACATCCTGTGACTAACCATCTTGGGTAGAGAACATACTGAGACTCTCTAGGATCTCAGAACAAACACACAAAGTTTTATGTATGTGAATCGACTCAAAGCCAACTCTTACCTCTTCCAACCTCACTTCTGAAAAATGCGAACTTGAATGACTAGCAAGGCAATAAGAACTAATTCTACTGAACTGTTGTAAACCGTTCTTTATTTAGAAAATATTCCACTTGTGTGTGTCTCTGTCATGTTTCTTAGGTGTCAGATATCCGGTGTGAACATGGGCCCAACTCATTACGACCCCCACACTTGATGGCACCAGGGTGATATTATGCACAAACTTCTTCTCTTTTGGTTTTTACATATTATAGAAAGTGCTCCTCATTTGACAGTGATACTTTGAGCAATCTGTGAAAACGGCGTACTATATCTAGGGGGTAGATAAAAGATGCAAATATAAATAAATTGCTAATTATTAACAAGGAAATTTAGCACGTGCACAAAAGGTAATTTAACAAACACTTCTAGAGTCCTACCATGTGCATGACAGGGTGTGAAGCACTGGGTATAAAAAAGACAAATGGCATATGCCCCTGCCCTTAAGGGGAGAGAGGCCATCAGTGCCCATTGTAGGCTGTGTAAGCTTGACAATCTAAAAATGTATAACAATGACAGGAGAGATGTGAGACATGTACTTAGAGGGTTTTGAGGCACATGTAGGGATTAATTGGATGAAGAAGGTGGAACATGAGGCAAAGACGTGGCAGAGAGAGACAGTATGAAGTATTTGAGTGGAGGGGAGTGTGCACCAAGGTATTAGGAGGAGACGAGGCTGGCCAGGTAAGCAGAGCCACGTGTTTTACAAAGTGGGTTCAGGGCCCACTTCCACCAGAATCATCTATTGAATCCTAATTTCAGGAGATAGGAATCAGGATGCTGCATTTTATCCAGCTCCCCAGGTAATGCATGTGCCAACTTGTATCTGAAATGCACTGGAATATTGCTTCATTCTTTGATGTAATCAGAGAATAAATTAGAAAGAGATTGAGAACATATCAAACTTCTGGGAGTTGGGAGAATTTCCTATTTTGTGCTAGGAATTCTGGGTGTGGGCCAGTGAGTAGGGCAACGAGTTGGAGGACAGACATAGGACAGCTTGGAGGAAACATACCAGGGGTGGGATGTAGGAGGATGTAGGAGGGAACTCAAAGTCAACTTTACCTTCAGTCCCAATTTTGTTAAGGGCCAACCCTGAGGTTCTCTCATCACAAACCAGGGAACAATAGTTCACACTTTTGTGAATAAAGAGAGCAGGTTTCTTCTCCTTTGGAAGGGGATGAAATCAATGCAAAGAAGCAAAAACAGAGATGTCAAAAGCAATGGCATAATAAATGATTCCATGCGATGTACTATCTCTTCCTTCCCCTCCATCGCTTCAGTTGTCAGGGTGTCTACATGGAAGAAGCACTGGACCAGTTATGCTGGGCTCCTGTTTCTACTCCACCCCTATAGATTCAGCATCCTTGTTTTTAAAATAAAAGTGCTACACCAAAGACTCTCTTAAGGATCTCCTAACTCTGACACTCTAGGATTCTATCTGTTATACTGAATTTTGTAATATTTTGCTGCAAAATCTATTGAACACAACTTAGCTTTTCTTTTACATCAGCTACAGTATTGTTCGGTGTTACGGAGATGCTCTCAGGGATAGTGAAGCTGTTTGTCTCTACATATAAACAGTCCAGGCTGTTATTTATTTTGAGTTCCTATGTCAGCCCTCCTCCCCTTGCTTTGTAAATATAGCTTTCCATCTTCCTTGATATCAGACTGTCAGCTGTTACTTCTTGTTGCTGTCCCAGGGCTTACCTGGAGCAGTCAGACCACCTCTTTTCTAAATTGCTACTTCCAACGCCTGATATTTAAATTGTTAGAGTGAGTCTAAAATTAAGAGGAAATGGTCTTTGAAGAAAGGCCTGAAGAACTCTTCCATGGGGAAAGTATAGAGTGTGCATGCATTAAATATAAGCACCTGATGATATTTTCTTGAATGCCGTGTGTTTTCAGGGTTCTCGGGAGTTGAGTTTGCACGTATGGATTAGGTTGCTCTTTTAGTGCTGTGTGAGGAAGGAAGTGAAGAGGCAACTCACTTCTCTGCTTTGGTATTGAAGCCACAGCATTATCCAATAATTCCTGCATTCTATGAGCTTATTCTCATCACCCAACTTTACCACCTGATATTGTACAAGATTTATAAGTAAAATCTTTTCCAGATGATGCTTTTGAAGTAGGCATTGAGTTGATTGCAAATTTAATTTGGAGAGCCAATATTGTGGAGTTTGTGCAATCAAACATTCTCTCCATAACATTAGATCGACAAATTAAATTTAAAAATACCCATTTTGCCACCAGAATACACTTGCCAAGGGTAATTAGCAAATAGCCAAGTCTTCCTTAGGTCTTGTGAACGGACCAGTCCATTGCTGTCTGAATCAGAGAAAGAGGCCCTGGCTGTGCATGGTATAAGGAGCATTTGGAAACTTAGTCATTTCCCAAGGTCCTGCTGGGGTCCTGATGACTATAGTTTGGGGAGAACAGTGGGAAAATCAACCAGGCACTAACCATACAAGACAATTTCTGCTCCAAGAAATCATTGTTTTGGACACATTGTAAAAGATCTTATAGTATTTTAAAATCTTTTTGATTTGTTTGTATGGAGAAATTCAGACTTAGAGTGGGCACTAGAGAGCGTCTAGCCTGGCTTTGAAGTTCACTGGTGAGAACTGAATGTTTACAGCCTCATATATCCTGAGAAAAATGTTCTCGTTCATTCAACTATTTTAAAATATCTGGTATGTAAGAGAAACACATTCAAGAGTATCTTTCTAATTTCACTAAGAAATTAAAAGCATGGAAACGGAAACCTTTTTTTTTTTTTTTTGAGATGGAGTTTCACTCTGTTGCCGAGGCTGGAGTGCAGTGGTGTGATCTTGGATCACTGCAACCTCCACCTGTTGGGTTCAGGCCATTCTCCTGCCTCAGCCTCCCAAGTAGCTGGGACTACAGGCATGCACCACTATGTCTGGCTAATTTTTGTATTTTTAGTAGAGATGGAGTTTCTCCATATTGGCCAGGCTAGTCTTGAACTCCTGACCTCAAGTTATCCGCCTGTCTCAGCCTTCCAAAGTACTGGGATTACAGCATGAGCCACCTTGCCCGGGGAAACCTTGGTTTTTATCCTAGATTATCTAGGGTCCTAGGTTACTGAGTATTGAGGGGCCAGTTACCCTCCTATGGATGAAATGAGGCGGCCAATTAGATATGGTTTAGGATCCCTTCTGGTGCATCGCTCTTTGGTTTTACAGCTAAAGTCAACTCTTAATCATCTATTTAGTGAGGGAAGCCCTGTAGAAAATACTGTATGAACCAATGGTTCTCAGTAAAGGTGGTGTTGACTCCTAGGGGAATTTTGGAAATATGTGGGAGTGTCTATGGTTCTCATGATGAGTGTGGGCACTTGTGGCATTAAGTGGACAGGGGTCTGGGCTGTTCGTCATTCTACAATGTGACTGACTCACAGAATGAAGCTCTGTCTTGTATCATACATGACTGCTGATGGCCCCAGTGGACATTCATTTAAGTACAAACCTGTTTATAATTTTTGTCTTGAATTTGTCTCCATTTTACATATACATACAAAGCATTTTTTTTTGCATGGCTTTTTAGACATTGAATTTTCCAAGACTGCAACAGCTGGGTAAATTGAGAGACAGTTCTCATTTGTTTGGTTTGGAATTTACCGAGTTGATCATCATTTTGGAAGACCATCATCAACAACAACGTTATTCATGGTTTTTGAGCATCAAATGACAGACCTATATGAGTCTGCATTTGTGGCTGTTGTACTTACAGTGGTTCTACAAATGACTGCAAACATCTGACGACTTCCTCGCATCTCCTAATGTATGCATGCCCCAGCATTCACATGTTGGAATAAATATTGATTTTATTCAAAATTACTTTCATTTGATTTATCTTTCATATTCAGGACATATTTATTTTTTTAAAAAATTAAGTGCATAGGAAGGTAACCATCTCTAGCTTTCATCCAGAATAGTAGAGGAAGCATTACAAAGTATTTATTACCAAAAATGAATCTGGGTGTACTAGGGTAGAGAATCACTGTTTTAAATGAGAGATCAATTGCCAGGCGCGGTGGCTCATGCCTGTAATCCCAGCACTTTGGGAGGGCGAGGCAGGTGGATCACCTGAGGTCAAGAGTTTGAGACCAGCCTGGTCAACATGGTGAAACCCTATCTCTACTAAAATTACAAAAAAAATGAGCCAGATGTGGTGGCGGATGCCTGTAGTCCCAGCTACTCTGGAGGCTGAGGCAGGAGAATCGCTGGAACCCAGGAGGCGGAGGTGGCAGTGAACTGAGATTGTGCCATTGCACTCCAGTGGGGACAACAGAGCAAGACTCTGTGTCAAAAAAAAAAAAAAAAGATTAATGTATAAATAATATTGACTTAATTTGGTGAATCCATTAAAAAATTTTGCCCCTGAGTTACCTTTCTAATCATATTTGCCTTATGCTATTATCAGAGTGATTTTACATTTTGTGGTCATCCACCAAGTGATTAGAGGGAGAGGCATATTGATTTCAAAAGTACTTATTCATATAGCTAGAGATAATCAATATGAAATCCAATGTTTAGGTGCAGGCAGCCATCAGTGAGTGGCAGAATGTTGCAGGCCACATGATGGAGATTTTCCCTTAGTGTTAGTCAGAGATGGGAAGGAAGTCTAGGTCTTTGAGAAATATAAAGGATTTATTTCAGCAGGACAAGAGGTAAGAAGCCTGCAAGTCTGACACCTTTTCAGTTACCCATCATATAAATCTATTGTAAACATATTCCTATTTATATTTTGTCCCATTTCTAGTGTTTTATATTTCTGTACCCAG